CCGAGACGGTAACCGCTGAGCAACTGCTGCAGTCGGTGGACGAGCTGAAGTATCTCCAGCCGCTGGCAGCGGACTTGGCTGAGATGGTGGGGACAGACGAGTCTCGCTCTGCCTTGCAGGAGCTTTGCTCGAGTGTAAAGCGTTCGCAGGATATTGCCCAAACGATTGCGGAGAGCTCTGCGGGCTCGTCTGGTTCGCCTCTGACTGCAGTGAAGACGGCGATAGAGGACAGTGTCTCCGCGTTGTCTCGGCTGTACGAAGCCGCTCGGGAGCGTGGCTTGTCTCTGGCGCAAGAGGTACAGAAGGAACGGGCTCCTGTTTTTTCAGAGGAGGAGATGCAGTTGCTGGAGAACGGTCTGGGCGCGGGCTTCAGGGAATTTATGGATTTTCGCGAGCAGAACCTTAATTCTTCCCTCCCTGTATTTGTGCAGAAGGTGGAGAGGGCGGCGGCGGAACTGAAGGGGCTGCGGAGCATCGATGGCATGGATGACCTACATTTGCTGATGTCTGTTGCTAAAAACCTAGAAATGGTCAAGAGCGCGTGCGATTCCATGCAGACAGAGTTTGCGTGTTCTGATGCCATCAGGGCGAGCGCAACAACAGTGTTGCATATGCAATACCAACGAGAGCACGCGTCCATACATCGTGAATTAGCAGGACAAGTAGGGGAAGTGCGAATTCTGTGTGTATTGGAGCGGCAGCGTCGGCAAATACATCCCCAACAGGACATCAGTCTCTTAAAGTCATTCCGTTGGCTTGAAAAGAGGCTCTACAGAGGCGAGCAGCAGCTTCAGAAGCACAAGGAGATGATCGAGCGGATGGAAGAGGCAGACAATATTATCTCGGCAAGCAACGTGGAGCAGCAGGCCAGGACGGTAGTTGACAGCCTGAAGGCCTTGCTGAAAGCCGCCTCCAGCAGCTGGAATTCGATTCCCGGTGCCGTGAGCGGGGGAGAAGCCGCCCAGAGCGAGGCCATGCAGGGCCACCTTACGGCGGTTGCCTGCAGGGCCATCGGAGAGGCTGCAGCGGCCGGGGGGCGAGCAGTCAGCATGTTAAACGCAGTAGAAGCTCAAGGACTCGGGGACTCCACTTTGTCGTGGAATAAGGAAGAGGAGGGAATCAAACAACCTGCGCTACAGAGGCGTGTCAATGCCAATTTGGCCAAGCTCATTGCCGACGCGCTAAAGCAGGTTGATCATGTAAATGCTGCTATGCGCAAGCCTGTTGATGCAGACGAAGAGACGCAGGAGGGCCGTAGCAGCTCAGAGATCCTTATGGAGGAAATGTTGCGTGCATCGCGAACGGCCGCAAAGGCTTCAGAGGCCTTCGTCCACGATGCGGAGCTTATGTGGCTGCGTGCGCAGCTTAACAACTCCCTGGACCTCGACATGCAGTTGAGTGCCACCTTGGCGCAGAGAGCAACTGCCGCAGTAGGCATGGCAACAGGGGAGGAGCCCACACAGCAACGTTGGCATCCTGAAATGTCTGCCGATGATATTAAAGAATTTAAAGATCTGCTGGAACAGTTCCACCACCTCCGGGACGGCGCGCTGTCTGCTAATGCTCTCAACGAACGGGCTTCAGCTGCAGCAATGATGAAGCAGGCCGCCTTAAAACTCACGGTGTTTGCCGAGGAACGTCAGGAGCAACCAAGGAGACGCTAAGGACGAACAGCACGAAGGGCACAAGGCAGTGCCTGTTTGAACCTGGCCGACGGTAAGGTGTACCGATTTTTTTAATCTGTCTCCCGTTTGCTGTTGAGCGGCAAGGTAGCCGTAATAGCTCACCAGTAGATATTGCGAAGGGGAACACAAACGCATTGGCAAGCGAGGAGAGGAGTGGCGGAGATATTGCAATAGATTCCGCGGACGTCCGCTAGAGGGCAGGCACTGAATTAGCCACTCCTTATGGGATGAAAAGATATGCTTGGAGATCCCGACTTAGTCCTTGGTTTGATGAGGGTTCGCCAATGGAGGATTACCGCCAGCAACGCTGGGATGTTGAAGTGTCTGCCGATGATATTCAAGAAGTTCACCATATGCTGGAGCAGTTCAGGAATGCCGAGGAAGATACGCAGTCCGCCATTGTTCTCAATGAAATGGCTTCAGCAGCAACGGTGAAGCAGGCGGCCTTACAAATCACGACTTCTGTTGAGGAATGTGGGAAGCAACCAACGAGACGTTGAGGACGAACAGGAAGAAGGGCTGAGGGCAACGCCTATTTGAAGCTGACAGGTGTAGAGCATTTTTTTGTTGTCTATCTCCCCTTTCCTCTTTAGTGCCAAGGTGCCCTGAATAGTTCACCAGCAGGCAAAGAGGACAGGAGAACAAGTGCATTGACAGGCGAGGCGAAAAGTGGCAAGCAGCTGGCGAAAGACTCCGATGGCACCCTTTAGAGGGCTGCAGCTGTATAGCCGTTCCCTATGGGAGGAGCATATATGCTTGGATATCCCGTTTGAACGCTACGCTTGGTGAACTTTTGTCTCGCAGCCGAATGCACAGAAAACAGCAGCAACAACAGGGGAGCCGTAGCCACTCTGCGTTGTTGCTTTGTTTGCAACCGCAATACGTATGCGTCCCAGGCCACCCTGTGCAGCACGAGAGCGCAGGGCCGTTAACTGGGGCTGCCTTTTCTACAGAAAGCACTTTCCCCCAGTGCACTGCTAGGCAGTTCTCTGGTTTTATTCTTGGTAAACGGAGGTGCGGGACTCACTGGGGTTGAGAAGGCTTCAAGCATTGTGTGGCCTGAAACAACTGTGAGCAGTCCCGTAGGGCAACAACTACCGTTTGTCTCATAGACCTATTTAACTATACGCTGGCGCAGAATAGGACTGTTGATTACGTGTCTAGAGGCACACTGCAGGGAAACCCTATATAGTATACGGTAAACAGATTCTTATGCCTGTGTATACATGCATACTATCCATTTCTATGTTGCTCACACAGGTGCATGAGGTGTTCCATGTGATTCGCACAGGTGTGTTAAGTATGAAGAGTGCTGCGCAGCCGCATTTGCTGCCGTCCTTGCTGCTGCGCATAAGTGATGAAATTTTGCTCGGCGGTGCGGAACTTTTTTCCGTAGTTGAGGCCAAGCTGAGCTGTTGTAGAGCCTGCCATTTTTGGGCTTGCTTCGCTCTGTCTCGTCTTCTTCCTACCCCTCCCGACGCGTGAAAAGTATCTTGTCACACGCCCATCAGCGGCGGGCGTTTCGCAATCAACTATTTATTGCTATCGCTTTGAGGGACTTATCCCCCACTTGAA